GAGTAATTCCTGCCTAAAGCAAAAAAATAGCTCTATCTTGTGCAGCACAATGTAAGACGAACGTATGATTTCCATGGAATGTTTTGAACTTAATAAAGTTCATTGCCACCTTCAACGACCCCTGGAATCTGACCGCAGTTTGGGCAGCTCTGAGCTCCAGCAGGGACCGTGTACCCTTTCGTATCAAGGCTGCCATCCTAGAGGCCTTCTTCCCTTCCCAAGCCCCACCCACACCTGTGCCCCCAACCCCAGGGGCTGCCCGGGCCCCCTTTACTCTCAGCCCCACAGACTGCTTTGAACCTGAACTGAAAAGTACCTAAGAGGCCCCATCTCAGGATCAAGCATCTTGGCTCTTTGCTCCTGACTGGCCAAACACCCAAACCATCCAGCCCCACCAAAGACCCCTGGTGCACTCACTGCAGACGGAAGATCGCAGTCAGCCAGGGGCAGCATCCCTGGAAACAGAGAGAACAGGAATTAGGTCCCAACATCTGGGTCTTGGGAGGCAGATGTAATCACTGTCTTGGACATTAAATAACCATAGAACCTCCTGTTGTATAGAAACGGTGTTTTCGTCTCATATTCAGCAAGCCCTGCCTAGCTCCCAGTCCTTTGCAACATGCACCCCATGCCTGGAATTCTTGCTAAAACCTCTCAGGTTTTGAAAATTTGTAGAATTACATAAGCTCCAGGATCAAATCATGAAATTTGGATCAAGAGCTCATGGATGAAAGCTCAGGAAAGCTCCAGAGAAAGTGCTGCAAGCTTGTGTCTGATTCCAGAGTGACTGAATGAGAGGAGGGACAAAGGAAAGGAAACCAGCCTGTCAACCGGACAGTCCCCAGGAGTGGGATTTAGAGAGGGAACAGGGTGTCTGTAGGTTTTATTGATCTTCACATCTCTTAAACTTAACACTCCCTAAAGCCGGGCTGTTCCCTGGCTGGGAAAGCCAAATATTTGTTCAGCATTCACTCAGCCATGACTAGTACCTCCCAGATTATCAGGTGCTGGGGACAGGCCTGGATAAGGCAGGGTCCCTGCCCACATCTGGCTCATAATCTAGCTGGCAAGTCAATAATTAACTGTCATACAAAGCCATAGGTGTAAGAGAGACAGGTGTTGGGGAAGCCAAGGGGATTCTGTAGCCCTTTCTGCCAGCAAGTTCATCAAGTCTCCTGATCCCAGGTGACCCAAGTGTCATCTCCCCTGTGGTATTCCCCAAGTTGAGGTGCCTCTGTCGATGCAGAAAAGAGCTTTCCCCAGCACTTGCCACTCAAGAACCACAGTTCTAAGTTAGCCGCCCAACTGGGGGTACAAATGCCCACCTGCCCGGCCCCCATCACCACTGCCGGTCCCACCCTCTGGCCACAACCACAACTGTCCCTTAGATACCAACCAGCTCGTTTTCAAAGTCTTGTTGCCCTGAGGAGGAAGTCGATGACAGTCTCTGGAATCTGGACTCACTAGAGGCACAAAAGGAAAAAACAACAGATAATTCGAAAAAAGTAAAAAATGATGTCCAGTATTTTGCTGCCTCTTAGAGCTCAGGACCAAAGCAACCAGCCTTCAATGGCTGGGACAAAATATAACTCACTCTGTGAAAAACAGAGACAAGGGCAATGACTGTTCCCAGGGACAGTGTGAAACTCCCTGTTCCACGGGCTGAATAACACGGGCGAGGGCCTCGTAGACCACCCCTGTGTGCCACACCCTCGAACCCAGCACCGCGACTGGTATGACTCGTGTGACTTCAAAGCATTGCCTGTTTACAACAAATCTCCTAATACATCAAATAAACCTGGACTAAACACCGCACACCTCATCAAATCTAAGACAGCGCTGTTTGGAAGGTGCATGATTATTTTATGAACCACTAAGAAAAAATGCTTTCAACTAAACCGTGACCACCATTGAGAACAAGACGCGCCCCAACTGCAGAGACGAGAAAATGTCATAATGTGCATTTAGAGCTAATGAACTATGGCATTTTAGATTGTGACATTTTAATCAGATACTTCCTCCCGAGTAGCCCATAAAAACACCTTTTGAAAAAAAAGAAAAAAGAAAAAAACCTGTGCACTGTGGATCTGAGGCATGTTCAGGATGTGAATTTTTGCTTTTCTCTGTTCTGGGGCTCCTGAGCTAGGTGGTTACAGTGTGGTGCTGTAACACCAAGGTCAAGGGTTCGGATCGCCGCACTGGCCAGCTGCCAAAACCCCCCAAACTTCTGTTCTACACATCCTATTTCTAATGGCATAAAACGTGATGAAACTTAACCTTCAAAGCCTTTACAGAGACACTGTCTCATTTGACTTTCGCAGTAACCCCATGGGAAAGAGAGGGCAGGAGGAGACAGACCCCAGGACATTGGGGACTTGATCAAGATCACACAGCCAGGGAAGTGACAGGGCCTCCTGCTCCCCAAGTGCCCCTTTCTATTGTCGTACGTGGCCCTGCTTAGGGCTGAATGTGCCATAAAGGTATCAGATGTCCCAAAAGGTTCTCCCTGAACAGTCCATGGGCATCACCTTGGGCTTTCACAAATGCCAGCGTGGAGACTGTGGGGAAGCGGGGTGCATGTACAGGTACACCTCCTCCTCCCGCCCAGGCCACATGTCACCACAGGCTGCAAGGGTGGAGGGTCTGCCTGGGTGGCACTGGGCGGCAGTGGGGGCTCACTTCCCGCTGCCACCTCTGACACGAGCCCCTGGGGTGTGCAGCAGCCAGCTGGAGCTGGGGTGTCTGGCTGCAGATCTAGAACTCAATTTCGCCCTTCAGGTGACGCAAACAGGGAGCCATCAGGGCCCAGGGTGGGACTGGAGGGACCCAAGTTCTGGCCAAGGGAGCCTGTGCTTTGTAACGGACTCGTCCAAGGCTGGCACCGACCACAAGGAGGACAGGCAGCTTGTGGGCCACCCCGTGTCCTTCAATCTTCTCGCCCAGCCCGCGCCACAACTGATGAATTTCAAAGATGACACACTTAAAAATATTCAAGGTGAGAAAGAAAAGAGCATCTTCCTCAACTGAGGTTTCCTCCACAGCCTAAAGGCAGCCAGAGCCCTAAGAGAGAGTGGCAGCTGCGCCTCGGTTTCCTCATGAGCACCAGATGGTGACGAGGTGACCTCATGGTCTGTGTGAAGAGCAGAGAGCACGCTTCCTGCTACAGGCCTGGCAGGGGCACTCAGCAAACATGATCTCATGTCAGCATCGTGTGTGGGCCCTGCCACACGGTGGGCTTTACAAGTCCCCAGCCCAATCCACTGACACACACACACTCTCATATACACACATATATACATACACACACTCATACACACACATATACATGCGCACACTCATATACACACATATACACATACACACATATATACATACACACTCATATACACACATATATACACGCACACACTCATATACACATATATACATATGCACGCGCTGTCACGTACACCCATATATACATGCACACACTCATATACACACATATATACAAGCACACACTCATATACACATATATACATATGCACGCGCTGTCACGTACACCCATATATACATGCACACACTCATATACACACATATATACAAGCACACACTCATATACACATATATACATATGCACGCACTGTCACGTACACCCATATATACATGCACACACTCATATACACACATATATACACGCACACACTCATATACACATACATACATATGCACGTGCTGTCACGTACACCCATATATACATGCACACACTCATATACACACATATACACGTACACCCATATATACATGCACACTCATATACACACATATATACACGCACACACTCATATACACATACATACATATGCACGTGCTGTCACGTACACCCATATATACATGCACACACTCATATACACACATATATACACGCACACACTCATATACACATACATACATATGCACGCACTGTCACGTACACCCATATATACATGCACACACTCATATACACACATATATACACGCACACGCATACATATACACACATACATACATACACACACTCATATACATACACACACTCATATACACATATATACATATGCACACACTGTCACGTACACACATGTATACATGCACACACTCATATACACACATATATACACGCACACGCATACATATACACACATACATACATACACACACTCATATACATACACACACTCATATACACATATATACATATGCACGCACTGTCACGTACACCCATATATACATATACACACATATATACATGCACACACTCATATACACACATATATACATGCACACACTCATATACACATATATACATATGCACGCACTGTCACATACACATATATATACATACACACGCATACATACACACACATATATACATACACACACGCTCATATACACACACATATACATATGCACACACTGTCACATACACACATATATACATACACACGCATATACATACTCTCACATACACATACTCTCACATACACACACACACGTACACATATACATATGTA